AGCATGTCACTTCAGTTGCCCTTTTGCCTCATAAAAACATATCATCAGCTTCACTTCCCACTTTCGCCATTTTTGTGCATTAAACAATCTTGCAGAGAAGCTTTCCATAAATTACTCAGAAGATCACTACAACCATGCTTTCCAAAATCGAATAACCCTACCAAATCCACCAAATTCTCACATGTTTTCGACAATAGTATGGGTAAGTAACTGCTCCTCGTTGTCTATTCTCCGATTTAGTCTTTTAATTTATTCGCACTCTTCTAGTTTTTCCTCCATTTGTATATTTTCGGCAAACGTGTTTGATTCTGACCATCCCCACTCGTCACTCGATAGTGTTCGCCAAAACACCATATTCTCTGATTTCAATCCATCCATAACTATAATCACAACTCCAATTACACTGACCCTAACTATTAGGTCGTCACATCATCTGGTAGATGAATATGAAGGGGATGTTCCTTGGGACGAGCTAGAAACCCTAGTGGATACCTATCCTCATCAGGTCGAGCTACTTACACCCACCCTTGGAAGTCATGTCGGTGAAACGCGACAAGCTAGAACGATGTAGGAAATAGATAATCATAGTAAAAGGAAAGAGAGTCTAAATAGTGCCCGAGGCAGTTAAACTCGTCAACTTAAACCCTTCTTCCAAATGTTCACGAGCAAATAGCCTTTTAATACACCATTGCGAGCTTCCTAGATCCTAGACCTTTCGAGCCCCTAAGCTCGGCAATATCTTTGACCAGATCCCCAGGTTTTCATTCTTTCTTCATTTAGCGGCCTCAAGTTTCTTTGGACCTGGTCCGACTAAGTCAGCTCTATAGCCTTCCTCTAAACCATTTTGCCCCCAGTTATATCCACCTCATGGTCGGATTAATCATTCTTAGCAAATGTCGCCTCCGCGATATTGACCCAAATTTCTTTTTTTATTGATATAGCTTAAAAATGAAAAAGTGGTAATTTTACCTCACACCTCGGAAATATGACAACTTCTTGAGAGACATTCCCTCAAATGTCTCTGCCTCGAAGACGAAAATTTTATGTGTCGACCTCCTCCTGATACACCTTACTTCTTCCCCGACTGGATTGGGGAATTCCCCATCAGCGGAAAAATATGAAACCTTCCAGGAATAGGGATGACCTTATCTAAGAATGGAACCAACTTCCTTCTTACGTCGTGAAGCTAGCCTTTGCCGATTGCATGTGATTCCAGAAGAGCTGATGAGCATGTCTCTTTTCGAGCTGACCTCAGTCCACAAAGAGGTCGAACGCGAGGTGGCTACGGGTGTGGCCACTAAGGCCATCGACAGGAGCGCGCCCACTACAACTTCCTCCCTTGGGCCATAAGGATCAGATTCCACTCCCGAGCTTCTTAAGTGACCTAACTTTGGCCAAAAACGACCTACCCCTGCGACAAAAAAGGCTGCCAAAAAGCAAAAGGAAACTCTCCCTTCTTTGCAGCATCCCAAGCGGTGGGCTCTAAGCAAGGATGTTAGATTCCAATCGGCACCTCATGTCAATCTTTCTCGACGGGGAGATCGACTATTGGTTAGACGATACCTACGCACGAGTTGTTCACAACCTCAACCACGCCATGCAGGTATTAGTTCATTACTTTATTTTATACCTATCTCTTAGAATCTTGTGTCTAACACTTATTTGATCTTATGTAGATGCTCTCTAGTCTGGTCCCCATGCTGAACGAGGCCCTTGGGGATGGAGCTGAACCTTCCGAGATGAAGAAGGACAAGGAGGCCCTTAAGCAGGCCAATGCCTCAAATGAAAAGTTGCGGAAGGTCAATCGCCGCCAAAGAGTCAGAGTTGCACCAGCTAAAGGAGGAAAGTCCGGCTTCTGCCACATAATAAACAACTCTCGCCTCCAAACCCGCGACCTTAAAGGCCGAGCTTGAAAACTTGAAAAGGGTAATGGGCGAGCGAGAGGAGCGAGGTCGTGAAGAAGGTCGTGCCTCATTCTTCTCATCACCGATACACATCCGCTTTCTTGATAGTTGGAAAGTCGAGTTGATCAAGCTCTTGAATTTCCATAAATAAAGATTTGACCAGTCTAATTTGTTTCTAGCAACATCGTTGTGGTATAAATACTAGAAACATAAATAAAAATACACACTTTTGAATTTTAAATAAGATAATAAAACTAAAAAATATTCATTTGAAGTCATATTACTATCAAATTATAAGTCTACAAGTATATTATATTTAGATACTTAACTAGCTAATAGCTAATTCATTCATTAAATTAATAAAAGATAGCTAACTGAATTAATAAATTTGACTAGTTAATTAATTGAAAGAAAAAGTGATTTTCCCCCAAATTTACCCTAGTTTCCGCCGCCTCATAAATTCGATATTTTCACCTCCTCCGGCGTTGGCGAGGCCGGGCTGGCGGTCGCCTCGACTGCCCAGCTTGTCCCTGAAGCCGTTCACTCTCATCTCTGGCTGTGTTTGTTGGCTTTGGCGGCTTGGCCCAAGGATGTTGGTGGGCGAGATTCGCATGTTTTCTCCCTCGAGCGGGGTCCGGTGGCTTGCAGGTCCTTGGAGCAGGTGGCTGACTCTGGTAGGGGGAGGTGGTCTCTAGTCTCCGACGGTTTGGCGCCTTGGTGCCTCCCCTTGGTCTTTTGCAGGGAGCGACTCCGATGGAGTTTTGGTGCGGGGATGTCTGCCGATGTGGTGGCGATGGGATGGCGGTGGTCAGTGGACGGGGAGGGGCTCCGGTGGCCTGTGTTGGTGCTGCAGGAGTAGGGTATATGGTTGCGAGCTGGTCCTTCTCTCCGGCTCTGCTGCGGTTTGTGTAAACTATCAAAGGATCTGAGAATATAGAGAGAGAAAGAGAAGAGATATAAAAGAATGCTGCCTCATTTCTATTAATCGAGAAAAATGAAAAGTGGGTTTACAAATTAGGGTTAGTGCCCTTATATATGGGTTGACTAAACCTTTCATAAAAGGGTACAATAATCAATACATAAATTACAAGTAAACCTAATACATATAATCTATAACATACAAGTAAACCTAATACAAATAATCTATTTGTAACAGAAATACAGGTAAACCTAATACATATAATCTAATACCCCCCGCAAGAGGAACATGTATATTTAACATGTTCATCTTAGACAAATTTTCCTTGAAAAGTTGAACTCCCAGGGGTTTAGTTAGCAGATCTGCAAGTTGATTTTGAGAAGGAATGTGTTGTAGGGTGATAACACCATTGGCAAGTTTTCCTCTAATCAAATGACAGTCTATTTCAATATGTTTTGTCCTTTCATGCTGAATAGGGTTTTTAGCAATAGCAATAGCTCTGATACCATGTAAACTATCAAAGGATCTGAGAATATAGATAGAGAAAGAGAAGAGAGATAAAAGAATGCTGCCTCATTTCTATTAACCGAGAAAAATGAAAAGTGGGTTTACAAATTAGGGTTAGTGCCCTTATATATGGGTTGACTAAACCTTTCATAAAAGGGTACAATAATCAATACATAAAGTACAAGTAAACCTAATACATATAATCTATAACATACAAGTAAACCTAATACAAATAATCTATTTGTAACAGAAATACAGGTAAACCTAATACATATAATCTAATAGTTTGGTCGGAGTCCGATGCCCCTGAGTAGCCTAGTGGTGTTAGGTGCGCTTGGGGTGTGCCGGTTTGGGGTGGCTCACCTGCATGTACCCTCGGTTTTTGGCATATCGGCTCGTAGTTTGGTTCGGGGGCGGGGGTTCAGTTTTTGTATAGGCTTAATTGCAGTTTCGGGAGCTGTTCCTTGGCTAGGGGTCGAGCTGTGATCCGGTTGCCGCTCGTTCGGGATCGTCTTTCTTTGGGGGAGGGTGTGGTAGTTTAGGTGTTTGTGTGTTTAGTTTTTGTTGCGTTTTTTGCTTGTTGCTGTTTTATGTCTTCGTGATTGGTGTTGATTTAGTATTGTTTCTTTGGTTTGGGTCATTTGGACCTTGTGAGAGGGATTACTCCGTTGGAGTCGTTCCACTTTACCTCGTTGGGGGTCGTTCCATAGTTAGGGCTTGTGTTGTGTTGTTTGAGTTTCTTTTCTAGCGTTGCTAGTTGGGTTCTAGGCGGTCTTATGACATGTCCTCCCAGTTTTATTCAGCTGTTGGCTGTATTATTCAGCTAGGGGCTGTGTACTTTGCATGTTTGTGCGTTTTTGTTATATAATATTTTCTATGTTTCGGAAAAAAGACTAGTTAATTAAATTAGTTGATTATTCATAATTATTTAGTAAATAATCAGCTAATTGGTATAAAATAATAACTAAACAACAATCTCACTTTTCCTATATTGAGTTTCAAGATTAAAATTTTGAGTCCAAAAAGTTATTCCAAATTACTACTTACCAAATAAATAAATCAGTGGTTCTGACAAATTAAACTTTTAATTCATTCTTAAACGTAGAATTTAATTATAATACGCTAATTAAAAAAGAAGACCTTTATTGTTATTGTTATTATTAATATGATTTTATTATTATTTTCTATTTTTTTTACATAACACGTTAATTACCAAATAGCACATTACTTTTTTAGGTAATTGTATTTTGCATTGTTTGTACCGCCTTTTACCCAACAATATTGGAATAATAGTGTGACCTCATTGGACATTGGTTATCCCTTCTTTTTTCATTTATTGTACCCAAAAAAAATGCTACAGTGTCCTCCGTCAAATTTATAAACGTTAGATCAGCTATTTTCGACGATTACATGACGATTTACAAACCTCGATGGCTCGATGGAATAATTTTGTAACGTCACGCACCATCTCCCATTATTATAACAATCCATCTCTCTCTCTCAAATTCGTGTAAAGTTACGCTTGAGAGAGATCAAAATTCCTCTCTCACACACACACAACACACGAGAAAAGCATCGATTAACCAATCTGTGAGTTCGCAGAGATTTTAATTTTTAACCATTAGATTCAGAAAAGCAGATTTAACAATCCACCAGGATTTAATCGGAGAATGGTAACTCCGATAACGGTCTTGGGCGGCGCCGACGAAGCTCCGTACCATCTCCTCCGCAGCTCCGATGACTCGCGCCTCAATCAGCTTGGCTACAAGCAGGAGCTCCGCCGCAGCCTCTCGTACGCGCCTCTTATTTTTCTCTCTCCTTTTTTTTGTTTTTCTTTCATTTTTCGATTTTGGTACTGAAATTCGCCATTAATTCATCTCCACTCCAGCTCTCTGTGTGTGTATGTCAGTATGTGCGTGGGGTTTTGAATTGGATTTTAATTTTTTTTTTATTAACAATTATTTATAATCACGGGATGAGATTCATTGATTCTTACTGCCGGAATTTTTTGCCCCCGTCATGATTGTATAAAATTCCGGCAATAAAAACCGGTTGCTGTGAAGGCTGTGAACCGGAAAGGGGGATATTTCGTTCTGGTGCTTATTAAATGACTTGTGCATAATTATTTTCAGTACATGGCATTTGATAATTTTTTTTTTTTATGTTTATATTACAGTGTGTGTTGAATTAAAAAGAATATATAAAAAATATTAGAGATTTTATTTTTTAAAAAAATCATTAAAATTATAATAATTTAATTTTATATAAAACATCACTTTTGTGTTTTAAATAAATTGCCAAATTATATTTTCTAATCATAATAGTTAAGCACTTGTATATTTGATTAAAATATCAACTCATGCTGAATTTTATCAGATATATCGTATAATAATATCAATATTATTTGTTATTACATGAGTACAAAAAATATACTCATATGGTGATATGTATATGCATAAATGTACAATATGTCTGTTGTCTTTTGAATATTATGTAAAAGAGATTAATTTTTACTTAATTAGATACCTAACAAGTGTCGTATCAACCTTGCTTTACAATTTTTTAACTTTAAATATAATTTTTGAATTACGATAATTATTTATTTATTTTTATTGGATTGACAACATACTAATTAGATTTCAAATAAATATCTTTTAAAAAGAATAATATCATATTATTTCATCATCGAAATGAATAAAATATGAATATTACAGAAAAAGATTGAAAAATAAGTTAATATAATTGATGTAGTGAAGATATTTAATAGATAAAAAAGAAACGAAAAGGAAAGTATTAAGGTAGCTATATAAGAAAAATATTGAATGAAATAAATAATAATTGTTTCGATGAAGCAAAATATGTTATATACTATGGAAATAACCACTCGTAATTGACATTTGACATGACACTCGAGCGTAATTATGTATCAATTCAAAGTATAAAACTATGATAAATTGAATATCAAAATATGCGAGTTTGCCATTTAATTACACATTTGAGAATTATATATAAGAGAATAAGAGTAATCGTAACGTTCTATTTTGATATTCTTTTTTGTTTGATCAAAGTGCATTTTTTCAAGAATATATATATATCTAACAATTAGATAATCTACCAATTATAGCATTTGATTAACATCGAGCCAGACATCAATGAGTTTTGTAAAGAATGTTGAGCATTAAACTATCAAAATTAAGAAGTTATGTCTTTTGTAGTATAACTTATTAATTATTTTATCAATTTTAAAACGCAGTTTTATGCATATATTTGCGTGTGTGTGTGTGTGTGTGAAATAGAGATACTGAAAATTATATACTTCAAATGTTATTCGTGCTGAGCCAAGTTAACTACCTCATGTTTAAGCTCGTGATAGTTTAAAAAATGAGTATCAGCTCGACTATTTAATCAATAAATAAAAATACGAGCTCAAACTCGGCTTATGTAAGTTTCAATATCTACTCAATCTGTTTAATAAGAAAGTTTGAATAGTCGTTCTAGCTTGGCTCATTTGAATATATAAATAATATGAGATCAAACTATCACAAGTTGAACAAATACAATCCAATTCTAATAATTGTTAGCCACTCCTAAATTTTTTCCCTTGACCAAGAGGTATTGTGTAGATTTGTCTACATTACAATCATGAACTTTTTATTTTTATTTGATTTTTTTAACAATTTGATCAAGACACACTCACCTAGTTAATATGTGTTTGTCCAACCTTAAAATAATTGTACTGCAGAACCTTGAAGTGGGTGCCATTTTGAATAACATTATTTTTAATGTAAATGTTGATTTGTCATTGTAAGGTATAATTCTTATAATGTGCACTTCATTGTCTACCACTTTATTGATCAAGTAATTGTAACTTGAGTTATTTTGCTGAGAGGAGAATATAATCAAGAAAGTTTTAGGTACTTTATAATGGTTTTAAATATTACACTTACAATTTATTATTATTACAATTTATTATTATTATTATTATTATTATTATTATTATTATTATTATTTTACTTTTTTTTTTTTGCATTCTACGAAGTATTTTTAACTTTTACAATTTATGAAGATTTATAATTTACTTTTGTCATATAGTTTCTAAAGTTGCATTAAATTTTATAACATTTTATAAATTATTCATACATATAATTTTAGTTTAAAAAGATGTATTTTCTTAAAAAAAAAAAAAGCAGAAAAATGTTGAAATATGTAAAACGTCGAGAAGCTAACTTGGGTTGGGCCTTTTTTTGTTTTCAACAGGTTTGTTGCCAATTTTTCTGGGGAAATTTTTATACCTGCTATATGAAATACAAATATTTTCAATTTTACCTTCATATGAAAGTATTTTCACTTATACCTAATAAGGCCAATTTATTTATGAAATTGCATCAATAGCAATTACATGCCGTGATTTCCGCCATGTCTACCAGAAAAAAAAAAAAATCCTAATCTTCATTTCAAATTCATATCAGCCCATTTTTTTTTTTTTTGGAAAAGGTATGTAAATTGAGTTGCACAAAAGTGCTCTTAAATCGCGACGGAAGAAAAAAATAAAAAATTAACCGAACATATACTCCGATCTAAGTTTCTGCAACGCATCGGATTTTCTGCAACCCATCGGATTTTCTGCAACCCAATAATGCACCGAACATATACTCCGATCGAGATATATTTATGTAATTTTGTCGCGTATTTAGCGTTTATTTTCGTGTTTGGTCGTTTACACTAGTTTTAATTTATGTGTCGCTTTTTTTCTTTTTTGGTTTGTAGATGGAGTCGAGCATGATGATTTTCATACATCATGGGGGTCAATGGATCGAGAACGAGTATGTGAATACATCATGGTGAAGGCTCATAGTATTGCTGGGAATTCGTTATATGAACGAAATACGGCTTCTATGAATTACGAGTCAAATGTTGAACCTTTGAGTTATCCAGATCTTGACAGGTTTTCTGATGTCGGAGATGACTCGAGTAATTTCACGTCTTTCGCAAGGAATATTGCTGCAGAGATGGTAGAAGCTGTTGCATATACTGAGAATATACTCAACATAAACCCTGACAGTCTTACATTAGAAGAAAATGTTGACTATAGTATTGTTGCTGGTCGTTTGCTATTATGTACATGTTGCGGGTATATGTTGTGGGTATATATAGTATATTTTCGGTATATGTATCGATATAAAAATTTGTATATTTCGGGTATGAAAATTTTGTACATGATTTATATGTTATCATCATATTTGAAAATTTACACGTTGCGGGTATATACCAAAGTCACACAACACACATATACAAAAATATACGTACAATATGCATAAAATACACAATCGAGATTCACGTAATTCAAGTTCGCGATACCACATATACATAAAATATACTTTAAATATACACTCGAGTTTCAATCGTTTCTCAAAATCGATTTCAAAACCCACATATACATAAAATATACCTACGATATACATTCGATATATTTTCGCGAGCAGATCGTTTTTCACTGGCAGAACCCACATATACATAAAATATACCTAAGATATACACTCGAGATATTTTTGCGAGCAGATTATTTCTCACTGGCAGAACCCACATATACATAAAATATACCTAAGATATACATAAACTATACCTCAAATATACCTAAGTTATACAATCGTTTCTTTTGTGATCCTTTTATTTTTTTTCGACAAACTTCAACCAGGAGTCTTCTTCTTCTTCCAAATCCTTATCGTTATCGGTTTCTTCGGGTTGGGTTTGACACTCGAAATCAGGATCTTCCTCGTTCAAAGTTTTGACCGTAGATTTGAGCTTCTTCAATTTACGAGTTTGCCGAGATTTTTCTGGAATACTTGGGTCTGACTGGAAGTCGTCTGAACTCGGAGATGGAATAGGGTTTTTCATGCTCGACTTGTCGGAAAACTTGCGGGTAGGTTTAGGGTTCAATTTTTTTTTTTCAAAAATTAGTTTTTTTTGGACGAGTTTTGGATGCTTTTGTGCGAGGATTTTGCAAAGACGGGCACTAGACCTAACCTGTGGTGAGTCGTCGGAACCGTTTGTCGGATTTTTCTATGAGGACAAGTAAATTTGGTTTTCTCCATTGACAATTGAATTGGGCGAGAAGAACGTGAACGGCTTGCAGAATGAGAAGACGTGGGGGCGGTGGGAGTTTTTTTGGAGAATAAACTTGCACTTTTTGGTTGCTATCTTTTAGGTAAGTGTATATTTAATTCACTTAAATATCTCAATCACATTTAAAAGGGTTAGTAAACGGTTAATGAGATAATTAGGTATAATTGAAAATCTTTTAGCTTGTTTAGGTAAATTTAAAAAATAGAATATAAAGTGTGTAAAAGTGTTATATAGTTTAAGTATAAAAGTATGGCATGTCATTTTTCTGTGACTTTCTCGATCATCTCAATCCTGACGGGCATAACCACATTATACAGTCAAGGCCTGGCTTTTGGTGGGCCGGTAACTATGATTTATGGGTGGCCAGTTGTGGGCCTAATGACTATTGTAGTGGGCCTGTCTCTGTCAGAGATCTGCTCAGCTTATCCAGTTTCAGGTGGGCTGTATTTTTGGAGCGCGAAGCTTGGTGGTAACTATTGGGGTCCTTTTACATCGTGGCTCACTGGCTGGTAAATGCTTAATATTTTTATTAGGACTTTTTCTTCTTAGATAGAAGTTTATTTATGTGTATAATTATTAATTACTAATGTTTGGATATCATATGCTAACAGGATTAAATATTCATTAGTTTCAAATAAAGAATAGGATGTCGGCCTTGATAGGATAGGAGAAAGTTGGTTAACCAACATTATACCTCGTTTACTAAATAGGATTGGGATAAGAATACAAATGACGTGACATGAGTTGACGCACGCATATATCTTTGACGACGGGATAAAAAATCTGGCCATTGGGATGTCATAAGTTTATCCTTGGTCTCAAATGGCCTTTGTGTCAAAAAAAAAAAAATATTTAATTTAAATCATTTTATCTAATTTATCAAATATTAATTTAAATAATTTTATTTAATCCATAAAATAATTTTATTTAATTTACAACAATATTATTTAATCTAAAATAATATTATTTAATGCATATAAATAATTCTACTTTGTGTCAAAAAAAAAAAAATATTTAATTTAAATCATTTTATCTAATTTATCAAATATTAATTTAAATAATTTTATTTAATCCATAAAATAATTTTATTTAATTTACAACAATATTATTTAATCTAAAATAATATTATTTAATGCATATAAATAATTCTATTTAATTTAAAAATATTATTTAATATAAAATAATTTAATTTAATAATATTATTTAATCTAAAATAATTTATTTGATTTAAAATAATATTATTTAATTTATAAAATATTAATTTGGACAATTTTATTTAATTTAATAATTTTATTTCATTTAAAGTATTATTATTTAATCTATAAAATATTAATTTAATTAATTTTATTTGTGTTAAAAAAATATTTTTTAATATAAAATAATTTTATTAAGTTGGAATCATATTATTTAATTTATAAAATATTAATTTGAATAACTTTATTTAGTTTAAAATAATATTATTTAATCTATAAAATATTAATTTAATAAATTTTATTTAATTTAAAAAACATTGTTTAATATAAAATAATTTTATTTAATTCAAAATTATATTATTCAGTATATAAATTATTAATTTAATTAATTAAATAGGTAATTTAATGTATTTATCATTGATTTTTATCCACTTTTTTAAACGTGGGACAATTTTCAAAGAAATTGTATCCTATTTAGTAAACAATGGACCAAGAGTCATGGGATAGATTGTCCTATCCCATTTTATCCCAATCAAAGCTAGTAAAGGAGGCCTAGGAGTTCACCTTGCATTGTAGGAGCTTAACTTAGAACATCTCCGATGTAGTTTTTTACATTATAAAAAATCATTCATATCACTATCATAAAAATTATAACACACGAGATTGGTGATCGAATACATCAATTTTCTTATTTCTTATTCTTAACTTGGATGAATATCCAAAACAAGAACTAGGAGCAAGTATTTAAAGGCCTAAAACTAATCATAAACTTATGAGAAGATCTAATCCTAAGATAAATATAATTCAAACTTAAGGAAACTAAATATCTATACTATGTAATTAAATATCCATTATCCTAAGACTTCCAAATAATTAAACTCCTAAACTAACTAAATATCCTAACAAATAAATTATCTAATCAACTATCTCACGCCCAAACTAACACACAATCTCCTAACAATTTAAAAATATCCCAACACTAATAAACTAACTGCAAACCTGTCTGATACTAACTTACGGCTAACTAACTAAATAAATCTCCTAACTTAAATATATTCCAAACAAACCATGCCACTAATCTATATCTATTCTATATCTATATAAAGAGGGAGTTGATGGAATTTATTGCTAAATATAGATGATATGCAATGACTATAATTGGCAACATTTCTACATTTGGTTGGGTAATTGTAATTGTAAGGTTAATTATTTTTGTTAAGAATGCCAAATAATTAAGGGAAATACATTAACATAACTAAATTCGTATTCAGTTATTTTTGGTAAATTTTAGGAATGGAAAATAATAAGTAAAAGTTAACTTACTCAATTAATTCTGTTTGGAAATATATTAATATTCTTTTACTATATATTTAAAAATGTATAACATCAACTACGGTCACCATATTTCAATCACTTGATACCTTAAATATATTTAATATCATGAACTCTACATATGTCATTACTATGTTTTTTAAGGCAGCAGTATTAGTTTATGCTAACATAACCATACGTATTAGTTTATTCTAACATTACGCATAGATCCAAAAAACAAATTAAAAAGAATATTTATTATGAATAATCTATTTAAAATTAAGTTATTAGATGAATACATGATAATGGTGAATGCTGGTAAAATTTCAAAAATGATACACCAAGTTGAGCGTTATCAACAAAATAGATATTTTGTTGTTTCTCGTGGAAAAGAAACATGTAGTTGGCGATTTGGTCGGAAAAGATACATTAATCACCCCACTTGGATAAAAAAGCTAGCGTGGCCGGATTAGATAGTGACGTGGCATTATAACTTTATTTAGTTCATACGTGTTATATACGTGGCGTGATGTGACATCATTATCTCAAAATACACAACTACACATAGATAAATAAAAATAAAATAAAACAAATCCAAAAATAAATAAATATAAAGACACATTAGCAAAAAAAAATAACAATAATTATAATAAGAATAAAAATAAAAAAATAGAAAAATTAAAAAAATCCAAAAATAAAAAATTTTTGTTCTATTTCCTTAAGTATATATTAATAAAATATCTTTAAAATTATATTTATTTATTACATATAAAAAATTATTAAAAAAATAAAAAATACTTTGTTAATATTTCGTTATTAAAAAATATTTCGTTAATATTTTGTTAAATATAAATATATTTGCGAATATATATTAAAAAATATTTTGTTAATAATAATAATAATTATATATAATTTATTATTAATTATATTATTTAATATAGTAGTTTTACATAAAATTTTATTTACTTAATATATATAAGTATTAAATATAAATATGAATCACAAAATATAAATTTATATTAAAAAATATATTTTAATTATTTTAATAATATATATCTAAAAAATATATTTCAATTTATTTAAATATAAATTTAAATTTGTGGTTTATATTTATATTTAATGTACTTATATATATTAAATAAATAAAATATTATGTAAAGTATTATATTATATAGTATAATAAATTATATATAATTATTATTATTAATGAACTTCATTTTTTTTAGTATTTTTTAATATATATATTAGTGAAATATATTTATGTTAAACGAAATATTAACGAAATATATTTTTTATTTTTTAATATATATTAACAAAATATAAATTTTATAAATATTTTATTAATATATAGTTGACAAATTAGAACGAAATATATTTTTTTCTATTTTTATTTTATTTTATTTTATTTTTGGATTTATTTTCTATTTATATTATTATTATTTTATTTTTTCTGATGTGTATTGATTTATTTTTCGAGTATTTTTATTTTTATTTATGTTAGCGTAGTTGTGTACTTGGAGAGAAGGATGACACATAACGCCACGTATATCACACGTAGGAAATTAAGGAAATTTATAATGTCACGTCATTATCTAATCTGACCACGTCAGTTTTTTTATCCAAGTTGAGTGCTTAATATATCTTTTCCGACTAAATTGTCAACTAAATATTTTCTTTCCGTGAGGGACAACAAAATGATTGTTTTGTTGACAACGCCAACTTAGTGTATCATTTTTGAAACTTTGCCGCTGAATGCTTAACAAAATACTTGAATCATATTAATGTCAATAAAATTTAAGCATTATTATTGGTGAATACTTAACAAAATACACTCAAACTTACTAAGATACTCGAGTACAAAATAGGAGTAATTCACGCTATAAATCTCATATTCAAAATCTGTGTATTGTTCTCTCATATTCAAATCCGATGGTGGTGTTGATTTCTTGCATGACCTGCACACTCTGGAGTTCTTAAATAGTATAAAATGTTTTGGTGTTCCAAATCATTAATTGCACTTAAAGGTTGAGACTTATGTCATGTTGTTGAGAAACATTGACCATTCGATTGGACTGTGTAGTGGAACACGCTTGGTGATACCGAAGCTTTTCACTCACGTCACGTGTTTGAATGTAAGATTCTAACAGGATCAAATGCTGGACATAAGGTACTGGTACCAAGACTTTTCCTATCTCCATCTGATCTCAGGATACCCTTCAAGTTCCAGCGTAGACAATTTACTCTTATGTTTTCTTACGCAATGACAATCAACAAGAGTCAAGAGCAGTCGTTATCCCATGTCGGATTTTACATGAAAAGACCTGTGTTTATTAGTCATGGTCAATTATACGTTGATGTGTCTCGAGTCACTAATCCACAGGGATTGAAGATATTAATATGTGGTGGGACGATAATGGGGAAAAGAAAACTACTAAAAATGTTGTCTATCGAGAAATTTTTCTAAATTTGTAATACCATATAATATTGTACTTTTACTATCTATTCAATAATAATGTTATTTACTTGTCATTTACTTTTTATGATATATATATATATATATATATTAATGTATTTATTAAAATATTTTAATAAATATGTTCCGTGCATCGCACGGGTGAAGATACTAGTCTAAACTAATAGAACACCTACTAACACGTGCTAATTAATTAATTAAATATATAATTAATCTATTTAATAATCTTCTAAAAAGCTTCGCGACTCTTGCTCTCAAGTCACACCGACCATTCTTGTGTCCCATGTACCTTGTGCGCGTTGTCTCGTCCACGGGCGCTTGCGCTCGGTCGTCTCAGCCCTCGACCCTTTGCGTCCTCAGAGGTCCAAACCTCCATCTTCATCAACCACCCCCGGTATTGAGTTTGTGCAGGTATTGAAGAGCATTCACCGGCAAAAGGGTAGATCAGCTCGAATCTAGCCTGTCGAAGGTCTCTTTTACACCACATATTCCAATTGTTTAACAACAAGAATCTGCTATGAATTTTGTTTGGGGAA